GTTTGGAAGAAGAATCGTTTTCAAGGTCATGTTTTGTGGATAGTCTTGGTTCGCATTGCTTGTGTTGGTTTCACTTGGTTCCTCTTAGGTGATTCGACTGAGACATGCCGGTTCGGATCGCTGGATCAGAATAGACAACCTCTGATTCGGATTTGTTCCATTTCATGGTCAAACAACCTTGAAATAAACATCAACAAACTCACCCAGCCAAATGTGCACCTCCAATGCACCAACAAGTATGATTGAGCAGGGTATTGTATCATTAAGCTGCCTGCCAATGCGGGCTCGAGCTGGTGGCCGGCGGCATGCCGAAGGCTGTAAATAGAGGGCTTTGGCGGTGCAGCAGCCAGGCTACCTTGAGTGTACAAACAAGGAGGAAAGCACATTTTGTTGTAGACAAGAACTGCATGGAGACTGCCCAAATACAAGAATCATGCAGGGAAGCGACGGCCACGCTAAAGGATGGAGGGTCGAGGGTATGTCAAAAACAGAACATTTAAACATCCAAGGGTGAACAAGAAATGTACGAACACAATGGGTACATCACAATACTTCCAAACAGTACGGAAAAGATTTGTTAAAAACCAATGTTGAAAAATGCCCGCGCAGCTGGATTTCTAGGGTGGCGCCACATCAGCCACCCGCCAAGCAAGACCAACGCAGCAGCAAATGTGAAAAAAGAAAGGAACAAGCAACGGCATGTGATCTGACAGATGGGCTACAGTGGAAATCACTGTGCTGGCAACCTTTCTCTCACCAATAGGACGAAACAACGGGCTGAGCAAATAGTGAAACACTCCTGCCCTTTGGTCTTGCATGCTCCAAGTGCTTTTTCTCCCTTTTCGATTTCTGCTCATTTCACTTTAAGAATGATTTGTCCAAGGATCTGGTAGGTGATATGTCTTTGCAAGGTATGTCGGCTGATTCCTTGTGGCCAATGTCTATGCAAGACTGGGAGCAACCTGCTTGAGGAAGCCTGTACCTTGGCTGCTATAGCTCGCCGTGCTGCCTCGTGATTGGCACATACAGTAGTCACACTGCAACCCTGCAACTGCCCTACTGGTAGATGGGAAAGTGAACTTGCAGGATTTGCACCGTCAATCTTGAGTGCGCAACGTGACTGAAACTTGAACGTGTTGAATTTGTATGCAACTTCGACTTGTTCTTGTGACTTCTCATGAGTTCTCACTCCAAAGGCACCAAGATAGCAATGGATCTCTACACC